TTTTTTTCTCCCACCCCGTTTTTTTCCCCCCCCCCCCCCGCAAAACACTTTCCATCCCAGCAGAACAGACTTCCTGCTGCAGGGCACTCCTTGTGCCAGGTCAGGGAACTCTGAAATGCAAGCTGAGGGTTTGTACTCGTGGTGTCGGACAGATGCCCGGTCATGGCACGCACCTACGGCAGGGCTGTAGCCCTCACTCCAGGTAGCGGTTGTCAAATTTTCCGAGAAAACCCTTTGAGCTCTACCCAAAGCTCACTTTCTACCTTTGTGGTGCTTAAGAAAGCGCTTAGCACCTCTGTATTAAAGATACAGTGACAAAAAAAGACCATCTCTGTCAACAGGGACCTGTAAGTGGAAGCTCATGTGCTCACAAAAGCAGACCAAAAAAAGGCCAGTTTCTGCCTGGCTCCCATTTAGGAGAAAGATCCAAAGGCTTCTTTGGGCCAGTTCAGACCCCATAGGCTTTGATTCCTGCACCATAACTCTGTGATGCAGAAATAAGAGTAAAAATCATTAATAAAAAAAAAAAATTCCTACTTTCAGGCAGCCCAGCTTGGCACAAATACTCTACGTTGCTCTTCGCAGAGGGGAATTTTACCACTTTGCTCCCACTTAAGAACCAATAACCCACTGAACAAACACGACACAGCTTTGTAGCTTGTTCTTTCCAAGATGCTAAAGGGAAGGACACCAAAGGCGGCGCCGATTTAGCATCCACTTAAATAAATTAAGCCTCCCGAACGCCCTCCCAGAGCTTTAAAAGTATCGGGAGCAGAATTAACAACCGCCCCCACTGTGCTGAAGAACCAGTGCGCTTCAGCTGCCCCGTTACCCAAAAAAGCAAGCATGACTGACACAAGTTACGTAACCATTACAAAATTTATTTAACAAAACAAAAAAATAAGTTTATGCTCAGGGATGCCCTGTGGCAGGTTCAATGAGTAAACAAAAGAAGTGGGTTAGGTCTAGTCACGGCTGGTAACGACGCAGGTTTCTCCAGCGCTATACTCGTTCCAAGGCTTCCAGCATAATGATGCTGTTCCCTCGTATTACCTAAAAGTGAAAGTTCAAAGCAGCCGGTGAGATGCAGCACACCATTACCCACCACTCTGCAGCACCGCACGTCCCGTCCCATCCCATCCCGTCCCCCCAGTTTATTTTCCTCCAAAGCTGATGCCGCGCCAAAAAACTGCAGTGAATTCCCCCGTGAGGGTGAACGCCGACCGATTTTAACTCTAAAACCCTGCGGATTGTTCCGCGCTACTGCGGTAAACAAACACGTCCGCCTCTGAGAACTGAGCTCGTTTTACAGACATGCCAGCTACAGCTGCGGGCTGGTGTGGGACCCGTCACCCCTCCACTTGTTGCAGCAGCAGCAGCACTCACCACCATGCCGATATTGTTCTGCTGTCCCCCCGGCGCCATCTCCACGCACTCATCGATGACGAGGTTCATGAAGGGATCAAAGCCCCGCAATATCCCCTGGACGTGTCGGCCGCCGTTTAATTTCACTACAAGAAACGGAGCCCATTTAAAGAAGGAGACTGCCCAATGCCAGCGTTTGGGTTTTTCCTCACTGGACCTGCAGCTCTGAAACCGAGGAGGGGGCCGCGAGGAGGGAAGGTCTTTGTGTTAATCGGAAGCATTCAGAGCACCGCATCCAGCGTGATAAGAAACGACCGCCCTGAGAGTTTAGGAATGCGAATTTTAAATTAATATCCGTCCCAAATTAACGGGTTTTGAAGCCTGAAACTACTCTGGGCCCGCTCCTCGCCGGGCAGGAGCGGTAGCCCAGGCAGGCAGCGTATCCCCCCCGCTGCAGACCACCGTGCAGAGGGGGATGAGGGGGTCGAGGAGGGGGAAACGGACACGGGGGTTGGGCTGGGGGCTCCCCCACGGCCGCGCAGCCCTTTTACCCCACGCCCCGGCGCAGACACACGCGGCAAAGAGAACTCAGGGCCGGGAGCAGCTCCGGGCGGCCGGCACTCACATGAGAGCTTCTTGTCCATGAACCTGCAACGAGATGGCGGCGGCCGGTCAGCACCGGCGGGGGAAGAAATGGAAAAACATCCCACCACCTCCGCCCCCCGCCTTCCCTCGCCGCCGCCATGACACCGGGGCGCCCGCGGTGCACGCCGGGATACCGGCGGATCACGGCGGCCTCCGCGGCTGTGTTCTCCCTTCCCTCCTCCCTCTCGCCTCCCCGGCCCCCGTCCCCGTCCCGGTCCCGGTCCCGATCCCGATCCCGATCCCGATCCCGATCCCGATCCCGATCCCGGACACACACTTCTTCAGCTCGGGCGGGTGCGCTTTGCTCATGGCGTCTCCACAGCCCACCAGGCCCCTCACGCTGCCGCTCGCGCCGCGCTCTGACGTCACCGCGCCGCTCAGCGTAACTTCACCCCACCCCACCCCTTCCTCCGCCAGCCAATAGCGACCGCGTCTTGCCCTTCTCTTCCCCGCCCCCTCCCCTTTCCCGGCGCCTCTCGCGGCCAATCAACGCCCGCGGGAACGCTACCGCACTCCTCCGAGTAGCGGCGCGGCGGGGGAAGGAAGGAGGGGCCGGAAAGCGCGGCGGGGCGGGGCGGGGCGGGGCTACACGAGGCGCTACGGCCCACGCTGTGCACGCACATGGCGGGGGTCACCCCGTGCCTTGCACACCCGCGGGGCTCACCCCCCCCCCACGCCGTGCGTGGGGCACAGGGGTCACTCGGTGCCTTGCAGGGGCCGCCCCACGCCATGCAGGCTGCTGGGGATCGGCCCGGGCCTTGTACACGCGTGGGGGCCGCCCCCGCAACGCTCAGGCATCCCCAAACTGGCAGCGCGTAACACGGGTCCCCCCCCCCCCCAGCATGTGCGCAAGCGTCCCCCAATATATAGCAGACGAGCAGGGGACGTGTGTGTCCCCCCCCACTTTGCGCACACACACACACGCACGCATCACCCTGCACCCACACGAGCATCACCCAAATTGCACAGGCAGCAGCCCCCCCCCCCCCCCCCCCCACCGCCCCC